TTGGACCGCCGAGCGTCACCGAGGTGCCACCAGCCCGCGCGGGACATCGCGAAATACTGAGCCACTCACTGTGCGGAACACTTGGATCTCGCAGGAAACAGAAGGCAGCTGTCATTGAATTGCATCGAACCTAAGAGGCGACCGAGCTAGTTCTCCCGTCGGGACCGGCACGCACGGCATCGTCTGAGGTATTCCTTGCCCGTCGGTCAGTTGTGCCGCTGCCAGATATCGTCCGTCCGGAGTGCATGCCGTCACGATGGTTTAAAATATTCTGAGCATTAGTAATTCTTATCTAGCCAGTCTCTTGATTTTGGAAAAAAAAAAAAGATGTCGACTACGGTAGAATATTACAGAAAGAAAATATAAATGCGGGGGCTGGGGGGGGGGATCCTTTCTAAATGAAACTTACGTGGACTAAACCTAGAGAGTATTTTTAAACAAATATACAGTATGCAGGCAGACGAAGCAGGAAAACGGCCATCCAACTGTTTAATAAAAAACTAAGAAAATTTGGCTATTTCCAGAAAAAACTATGAAGCGCCTCAACTAAAAGGAATGCATAATGAAATTCTAGTCTAATACAGGTCAAAAATGTAAAAAGGTTATAAACCTTAACAGGAAAAATAAAACAACTTTTACTGGCCATTCCTGTTGAAATGAGAATCTTAAAAGTAACAGAAAAGTGGCTACAAACCCACTTAGAGCACCAAACAGAGAGAAAATACGAGTCCATTTTCAATCTCTGTTATATCATAAAATCCTGTGTTTTGACAGGTCAAACTGCTGGTGGCAGAAACAGAATTCTTTATAAACTGCAGATGTCCTGTACATACAAAAATTTCATTGGAGTCGCACTAGTTCTAAAGACTTTTCTGTTCTAGCCTACCTACTGCGGTGTACTGCGGTGTACTGAATGTATCCAATCTCAGATATAGAAAGTCTCTTTCCGTAACCCTTGATTATTGTTGGGCACCAAAGATAAGAAAAGCAAGACGGGGTACAAAAATGCAAAATTTCAACAGTAATGGCAATGTTTTGTTCTAGTCCAAAAGGGTCCTGCATTTTCTCCCCCTTCAGCAATTAGCCAAAAGGCTTTAATCTGGGGGTAGCAAGTCATGCAAGCGAAATCTGTCTCTGATGTGAGGTCGGACATCTTCGTTCTGTAGGGGGGAAAAAAAAGGGGGTTGAGGAGAATTAACACGTCTGGAAATCAGATTTTAGCAGGCACAATTTTCTAACGCCGCTATTTTAATACAACAAAATACAAGCCGCGAAGATACGTGATTACAAGAGACTGAGGGAAGTAACCGTGTAACACTCACAGCAATTTGGCGGCAATTTATTTGCATTAAAGAACAAGGGCACACAGCAGAGCCAACGAGAGGCGTTCTTTAATCGAAACGCCTACGGATTCTCCATTTCATTACAACTGATGTTACAACTCTCCATTTCCCGGCCAAATGCACAGTTAGAAATAAGAACAATCTGTCTTTTGCTACGTTAAGTAAGTCCTTGTGCCTACTCTGAAATAGCACCCGCAGTACCCTTTCTCAAAGGGACACACGTGACTTTCACAGTCTGCACCTCGGGGACTCAAAGCATGTTAGTAGGAGAGCGAACCAACGCTTTTGGGGGGTGGGTGGGGAAGAGCCACATAAAGGAAACACTTACCAGCTCTACAAGTTTCTCCAGAAAAGGAATCAATTTTAGGAGTTCGTTGTCATTTTTATCCATGAACCAGCTTTCTATAGGAATTCCATTTGAAAGCTGAAGTAAAAAAAAAATATAAAAAATCACCAACGCATGATTTATACTTTTATTTATCTAAAAATATGACTTGTAAAATAGCATTTAGAGGAAAAATGTTTCCAAGCTAGAGTTTAAGACTGTATTTTTCCTCCAGTCTGTATTAAAATTCACTTCCAAAACATCTCCTTCCTTTGCATACATCACTACAAAAATTTCCACATCAAAGCTGAAACAGAACTAGCTCTGGAAGCTCTGCTGAACTGAAACGCATCGGTATTTTGAGAAGATTTTATGTCAAAGCACACATGGGTACTAACTGTGTCCTGGCAAACAAGGCTAAGGCAAACAGCTTCTGGGAGTTCTGCTTCGTCGCTGCAGGTGAGACGTTGGAGCGCGCGCTCCGCGCTTCTGTCTCTCGATAAACGGACTAACGGGCAGAGCTGCGCCCCAGAGGAAAGCAAGCAAACCTGCGGGATCTGTTGCAGTTTGGTTTGTCAGCGTCAGTAACTTGGGCACAGCAAGAAGTTAAATCAACCTGTGAGTGTTTCACTGTCTTCATGCAGAAAGGTTTTCGCCGTGTCTCAAAAGTTTGTTGACAGCGACATCCTTACCTGATAAGCAAAGGCTTGCGGTGAATTGTCAATTATGATCGTTTTTGAAAGATCTCTGCCAAGAATGTTTAAATCCTTTATGTAATTTCCTTGTACACAAACACAATGCTCACGGAAAAGTCGATGCCTGGGATTGAAGTAAAATACTAATTAACGAGGCAAATTACAACATTTACCTTGCATACAGAAAAAGGAAAGTTAACTTTGCCAAACGTTACCCAGTTCTTTTCTCTTCTGATCTACTCAGCTCCTTTTAAAGAACTGTTCCCTTTCTTCCATTCTCTTCTGAGCTTTTTGCTGGTAAAATTACTAGTTAAGGTGACTTTACATTAACCTAGCTCTGCAGGCATATTCGCCTTTAAACAGAAGAGCTCAGCTCAGATGCAACAAGTATTTGTCAACAGGGTCTGGCTTTCTAACTCTTTTTGCAGACGGATGGAAAAAGCGACCCAAATTACTCAGATGACTTTGCAAGGCCCCAAGATCAGAGATTAGTTCTGCACAGGAACCAATTTATTGGGTTTCATTATCCATGTATTTCGCTCCAGCTGTTACAGTACATGGCCTCCCCACACCGGCTGCGTGCCAGAACACACAGTATCCGAAGACGTGTTTACTTTTTCACGTTACCTCTGTTCGCAGTTAACCTAGTTCAGTTATTAGAGCTTGAAAGAAGCCTCGAGGCCAAAACATTCCGTCAACTTCTTCCTCTCCAATTAGTCTACTCCCTTTTAATTTACTACAGAAGAGGATGGATAGACTAAAAGGACTCAGATTTAAAGAATACCAGAAATAAAACTCGCATTTCATGGAATATCAATGTAATTACAATCTAAAAAGAAACCGTGAACTAGGCAGACCGAGTTTTACACAGGCCTGTTACAACAGTGCAGTTCCTTTAAGGCTGCTTCTATTTTTCAATGAAGTTTTTAGGAGCTGCCCATAGTACGCTCAACTTCATCAACGGGCTGAGTTCCTGATGTTGCTATGGAGGAAAACAAGCTGCTGCCTCGGCAGCGAAGGAGTTTATATATAGCTTCTGAGTCACACGTGTGGCGTGCCTGACAAGTCTACCTTTCGGCTAATGTCAAAACGAATCAGGCCTTGACGCCAGCTTCTCAGTGGCACACGAAGCACAACTGAACTGCTGCAGCACACGAACGTTTCTGCAGAGTCTTACGGTACTGTTGGGCTGTACCTGACCCTAACGCAATCCAAACTGCAGTCCTGAAACACACGTGTTGGGTTCTCGGAGGAAGATTTTTAACGCTACGGAGGCGCGCTCCAACTCATTTTCTACAAATATCTTCCTCGTTCACGCCTCCTGGCCGGCCGTGCGCTGCAGGCAGCCTCAGGCCCTCCAGCCACAGAAAGGATTCAAAAGTCGAGTTTCACTTGCCCGGATTCTTTTGTTTGTGCCACATTAAGACAAGCAATGAGAGGACTGTTCCTGGATGAAAACTAGTGAACGGTTTATCTTTATGCTCTCAAGGAAAATGAGTTACGATGTGCCTAAATTACCAAGTGAAAACAATGGGTGCAACCATCGTCTCAGTCCAAATGTCGATTTTATTATGCGTGTAAAGAAAATCAAGCTTTCACTGAAGAATATGATGGTAAAACGATGCAGAGAAGTGTTTTGCTGGCGATGTCCCAGGTACAGGATCCGCAGTTTGGCTCCAATCAGGTACTGTTGTTCACCTCCCTCACTTGGGACACCCTATGCAGGGTGAAGCCCTGAGCGGGATTCCCCACCTAACAGCCCCCCTTCCAAATGAGAGCAGTAAAAAGAACCTCATGAGGCAGAATTTCTCTGTACCTTAAGAAACTGCTCTTGAGAAGTGCCAATCGCTTCCAAACAAAGCTCAGCATTAAGAAAAGAAACGAAACCCCAAAATGACTCCGCTACAAAACCCACAGACAAATTCCCTTGTGATTGAAGAAAGAAAAACATGTTGTAAAGGTACCTATTTGTAATTTATAAATAATACACCAAGTCTGAATAGTTTAAAAGTAAACTGTTATTTTTCTTCACTTGCAACATGTATTCCAAAGCAGCTCAAGCACAGCTTTGGCACCCAAGAGGTCACTTTCCGTGAGCAAGCCCCCATGAGGCGACAGAATGAACGGGGCCGGTTTTTGGCCGCAGAGGGCAATGTAAAGCTGCCGGGGTTTATCTCATCACCAAGGCAGCAATTCAATCACTTAATTCCGTTCCTCTCTCACTCTCAGACCAGACAAAACCACAAAGAATGAGTTTAGTGAGACAAACTGCAGTAACGAACGGAGCATCACAAGCTGTTAGGAAGCAGTGCTTAGTTTGCCTACAACAGGTACGGTCACAATTTTCTGGTTTTACCTGACCAGTTGCTTTTTAGGGTCTAGTATGTTCAATAACTTGTCTGCATACACCTTCTTAGAAGCAGTAAAAAGAATAATCTGTGGATTAAAGGGGAAAAAGTAATTATTTTAGATATAAGTATGTGAATACAATTTAAAAATTGAATCCAAAGGCTGTGTCTATCTTTTTTTACCTCATAAATCTGAGACATACGTTCCAGGAATTCTCGGAAGAATGGCCTTAACCGGACATAAACCTGAAGCAGAGATGAACTTTTATTAGAGACTCAAAATAGTTTCGCTATCACCTGCACCGCTAGCAGCAATTGGTAAAGATTAGGTCAAAATGAGCACTACGAATAAAGCAAACAGCAAATATTAACTTCCTAAAGCATAACAACTTGGTTAAAACAACATTAAATTCGCTTGCAGCCTAAGCAGCTGTAAGTGAAAGCGTAACACCATAGGCTTGACAAATTTACTGGAAAATTTGACAGAATTAGAAATAATTTCAATTAAAATATGAAAGTTGGGCAATGTCTAAAGGAAAAAAATGAAATCAGTTGCTTGGTCTGAACATTTTGAATTAGCTTTCACCAGCTGGGCAGCATCAGTTCAATTACTAGATAACGTGTGCCAGCACATCAGCTAAATAATCTTCTTAATAACCACCTTCCACTAAGAATGAAACATCAAATATGGGGGTGTCACAGATTGCCCACATACAGTTTTGAGGAAAGACTCACTAAAATATCCAGAAAGAGAAGGGAATGTACTGAACTTCTTTTCATTCCAGTTAAGGTAATTTCAGCTCTGCCTATTTTTCTAACAGCCAGTTAGGAATAGGCTTAAAAATACCTCCAAATCCTCCCCAAAGGATCTGCAGTGTTTGAACTGATTTGTACCAAATTTATGTGTGGACATAACCAAGCAACCAGCAGGGAAGGGAAATAGTTTACATGAAAACAAAATTTCCTATGGTTAGCATCTGCTGCAATAGATCTCAGTCCTTTAAAGGAATAGATAGGAGTCTAGTAATAGTTTTCACCACATTTAACGACTGAAAGTCTGTCAGCACAGATACATGATATCGTCTACTTCAAAGCAGATTAGTCATAAATGCATAACGTATATGAAGAGATCCCTCAGAGTTTTTTCATGGTTTTTGTTTGGTTGTTGGTTTTTACTTTCTCCCTCAACAATCATCATATCGCACTATTGAAAAGGCGATAAAATCTAAATGTGGAAAACTAAAATTGTCATCTAATGTTTTTCTTGTTCAAAATACACTGGACTTTAATTCTCTGAAGGTGGAACTGGAAGGAAACGTTATTCCTTTCGTGTATCCAAAAACCCCAACAAAAGCCTATGTTCCACTTGGTGTCAAAATCTCTGACAATTACAACACTGAATTTCAGTGTACCTGTAACGCAGCTCTACGCCTGACAATTTACCATCATTTTACGGGACAAAAACCAGAGACAGGATAGGGAACTCGCCTGTGTGGAGTTGCACTTACCCACTGCTGAGCGATCTCCAGCATGACAAGCCCCCCTGCCCACGGGCCTTCCTGCCCCGGGGCACACCGGACACCAAGGCCAGGCTGACCCGGCTGCTCCCACTCGTACCCAAGCTGGGCTGCACACGGGCCGTGGCCAGGACAGACGGCACATGCCAGCAGCCTCAGCTCACGAGACGGCCCTGACACACCACGCAGGGCTGTGCTCCAGGCCTGGCGCCAGGCTGGGCTGGAGGAACAAACGAGCGCCTCTACCTTCACACGGGACCCTGTCTCGAGCGGCTCGAGATGAAGCCCACGCCAGAACCAGACAGAGCTGCCTGAAGCGTAGCCAGACGCGGCTCTTCAAGGCGCAGAAGTGCAATTCTAGAGGTTCTACTGAACTCAAATCAATCCTTCTCACCCTAAGACCAGATTTCTTTGTGGATGCTGCCTCTTGACTTTCAGATCCAAAGCTCGATGGCTCTTGTGTTATTCCCGAGAGACAGGCAGAGAAGGGAGAGCTGGAGCTCACAAGCACTGTTTGCCTCATCCTACTGCAATAACCGAGCAAAGACCTAAGTGTCGCTGGCGACGGTAAGACGGAATACCTGTAACACTAGATTCGGTAACCCACAGCTGACCCATGGAGTTCCAGAACATCTTTCAAGGATCACGAAGATCAAAGAGGATTTTCTATGATAGATGAGTTAGGACACATTTCAGCTGAAGATGTGAGTGAGAGCATCTGCCTTTGACTGTGGCCCCCTAGAAGGTACCCTCTGAGTGGAGCAGAGGGTGAGATGATCTCATGCCTAGGGTTTGAAGCCAGCAACAGAAACAAAACCTCTTTACTAAGAAAAAAGAAAAGAAAAACTTCTTCATAAGCTAAGCTGCTTATCTTATTATGTAAAGCAATACAATGAGTACAAAGTCCAAAGTCTACAGCTGAAGAGCTGAAGGTTTAAGACGTAAGACAGCACTTAACAGATACGGTACCCAAGAAAACTTCAGTTTTGCAAAGACTCTGTTTTTACTAAATCCAAAACTTAAAACGCAGGCATAATTTAGAGATTTTTTTCAAGCAAGAAAACACAAATTCATTGTCTCGAAAGCTTGACGTAAGTAAGACAACTGTAACCATTTCACAGATTTTTGTATCTTTTTTTTACGCAGAAATCAGTGAGCATGACTCATCCAAAGGTTTATAAACCCCTGTATGTCAGTGCTGGAATCACACAATAATTTTTAACCTTGCAGAATGCTGCTCTATGCTCAGACACTAAACAGTTCTTCTCTTCTGCCCAACTCTGGGTGAGTTGTGAGAAGTAACTTAGGAGCAAACCAGCCCATATTTTCAGAAACCTTTCTTTAAAAACAGACCGTCACTTACAATCGCTGAAACAAGCAACAGCCGAGCTGACTTCCCGGACGTGGATCTTGTGCTCGGCTCACGGGCCAACAGAGTTTAGCTGTATTTTATAACTGAGCTTCCAGAAGCCAAGTCTTACCGTTGTAGGATCCTGCAACGGCCAGTTGTGGAGCATCTTTTCCAAAAAGTGCCTGGTTTATCACTGCACTCTTACTGCAAGAGCATTGGCTCGATGCCTTCAGATAGGGAAGAAAACTGGAATGCGATGAACCCAGGCTCACGTTTGCAGCATTAGTCAGACTTAATGCCAGCAAGATAAGACATTCAGTAGGAAAACGAGCACTGAGCTGGCCTCTTAAAAAGTAATTAATAGATAATTGTCTAATATTTCTGGAAAACCTACATGAAAGCGGTACATATTTTGATACTGATGGCAAACATCTTCAGGAATGTCTCTGCCACAGCTCGCATTGTGTTCAATGGGTTCCATTACGCAATACTTTATATATAGTAACTTGCTGAGTTCTGCTTTGCTCAGACGGATTAGCGTCTGCTTCTCTGCTGCCAGCTGAAATGACTTTCAAAATGAAATACGGAGATGTGAAATTAATACAGGACTACACCAGAGGTGATGGTGAAATTGATAAGCAAAGCAAATACACTTTAAATGCAGATAAATAGCTAATCCCCGATTAAAAACGCTGTGAAGGGTATGAAACACCAACAAACTTCTCAACATTTATCACAGAAGATTCTTTGTCTTTCTGCATATTATACCCTAATTAAACATGAACTTAATTGTATCCTCAAAATATCTGTCTTGCTTATTACGTAGTAAGAGGTGAATGGTTTCTCAGTGTCTAGTGTGATGTAAAACCAGCTACACAGAACACAGTGATCAGGAGAGGGTGCTCGAAGACAGAAGCCGACCTTCTCAAGCCTGCAAGAAGCGGTCGTCCCCGGGCTAAGCCAGGCTAGACTCGAGAGAGAGCTCAGAGAAAGTTTATCCAGGACCCACACAGGAGCTGTACTGGATCGAGGCTACACAGGCCGGTGTACAATGCCACTAAATAAAGTTTCAGGAATACTGTAAGTCATTTTTTCCACTGGCTTTGATTTCATAAAGGTAAAATCCTGGTTAGATCTCAGCATAAACACGTGATAACTAGGAGGACCACAGTTACAGACAGAAACTACTCAAACCATACTGAGATCTCTTAAGAGAAAGAAGGAAATAGCTTTAGTTTTCCTGATTCTGTTAACAGTGTCAAGAACCTCCAAAGAACTCATTCCTAAGGCTCCTTCAGCCTGGAGGAAAGTGCATGGCCATCACCAAATAAGAGGTAAGATAAACCCAGGTTTAAACTCAGGTCAGTTTCCAAGGGTTTTAATAAGAAACAGAGAAGGAAATAAAATTTTAAATCAGGAAAAATACCTGGACAAGTGTCCTTTTAAGGTGCCTGATGACTGGCTCATTCTCCAAAGATACTACAGTGGGGTCCCGTATCGTGCGAACTACACGGTGGGGAAGCTGTTGCTACTCCCAGGTACATCCCACAAAAGCACCTGGGAACAACAGCCGGGGTCAGCGCAGCATCTTCGGCAGTTGCTGGAAGAGAGTTCCTGCTTCCCAGGCTTGTTCCTCTACTGTACAGCAGCGGCAAACACGGAGCTACCGACACCTCCTCAGGCAGAACAAGAGCCTGCATCCAGCAGTCTCCACAAGACAATCGAAACCCACTCGAAGTTCCTGTGTGGCACAACTAACACCCAAGACCGAAGCTGATTAACGTCAGGCTCTGAAGAGGTCTCCTCTACAGAAAGGAACAACCGACCACTCAGGATTGGTTTTCCCTACCGAGGGAGGAAAGTGAACGGTCCATGAGAAGCTGTGCCTGGGAAACTACACGGGCTGAGCTACTTCTCTCTCTTCAGACAAGCTGATAACAAGTACATGCAGCAAGAATTCATATGTGAAACAAAATAAAAAGGCAGATATTTTTCTACGCACACTAATTACCTGGTAAATGACATCTTGAAAAAGAACTGGAAAAGTGAGCGCAGCATCTTCTAGTTCATTTAGACTACAGTGCACTAATGTTTCATCCTATTAAAATAAAAAAATATATGGTAGAAAAGAAAGAAAATATTGTGAAAAGAATGCTGAAAATAGAAATAGCTTCCTGGATTTTGATGCTCATTTTAAGGTAGGTTTATTTAGTCAGGAAAATTTATTTCTATGCAAGTGCACAAGTCAAGACTGAAGGAATGAATTATACATTTCCTGATTCTTGCAGTATTTGGAAAATTTCACTTAGAACTGTGTGCTAGTGGCATAGTTATAAGAAGATATTTTGATTTTGTAGGCTGCCCTGTCACTCAGTTCAAGCCTGCATGTCAGTTTGAATAACCCATCCCTTCACACGACCACTAAAGGACATGATAAAATAATGTCCTGACATCATTAACAGGGTCTGAAACCACTTTCAAAACAGAGAAACTGAAAGAAATTATTATAAAGACAAATACATTCTCTGTAAACATTTTAAAAATGGCTTTGTGCCCTCTAAGAATGTTCAAAAAATGAAAAGATTCATTCTTGATCAATCTTGATGCAAGACGTATGAAGCTGAATTATCCTATTTATTACATCTCATTTTTTTTCCACTCTGGATTTCGGACAGCTTTATGGGGACAGATAACTCTTTGTTTGAGATGATAAAAAACCAGGACGTTAAGTATTTAACAAATACAGCAAGCGCTCTATTCTTGCCACTATTCTTTTTTTTTTTTTAAAGCAGACTATATTTAACTAAAAATCCTCAAAATTGTACAACATTCAACAAGGCCTTTTTGTTTAGAGCAAACATTACTAATTCCAGCAACAAACAAGATAAATTAAATGCCACATAGCCTCAGCTTTTGGGGTGTGTTTGTAAAGACACTTACCAAGTCTAGAACTAAGGAGAATTCTGGTGTGCTTCTTGTTTTCAGTGGAAGAGCTGGCTTCCTGTTAAGTTGTTCTTCTGTTAGTGGTGGAACATGCTTGATGAAATAATATCTGAAAAGAACAGAGGTTGTGCTGTAGGAATGTGTATACATTATTTAATTAGTAATGTAGCCCAACTTAAAATTCCAAATGTTTAAGGCTGCACAAGAAATAAGTATTTTAAATTGGAAAAAAAATCCACATCAATATACACTTATTTTTTTTTAAGTTAAGAGCTTTTGGAATTCATTGTCATAATATAAAAACGTTGCAACTTAAATAAAAGTATCGAAAATTAATTGGATATTTTCAGTACAAACATCAGCACTTACGGGTCAAAGACTTCCCAGTCTTCTTCATAGGTGGCTTCCGCATGAGCTGATGAGTAGCCACTGTCTGGAGATACTGGTGCTAAAATTCAACGAAAATGACCAAAATAAAAAAAACAAAACAAAACCAAAAACCCCACAAGAGCTAGTCTTATTAGTGCAGTTTTTAAAAGGGAAAATTTGCAACTTTTACATGAGCGCGTCAAAGAACAGTGGGAAAACCTCTCCCTTGAGCCCCACCTTCTCAGTGCCCGTGTTCCCGGGACAGCGTGGTGTCGGGACACGGTTTGGTGCTCATGGTGGTGTTGGGTTGATGGTTGGACTT